TCGTCCGGACTTCCTCCCAGCCCTTCCATTCACCTTCAGCCCTCGGTTCTTCACACTCCGAAGCCTCGCTCAGGCTCCGCAGCTTCCCACCGTTTATCTAATGCAGATTTTCACCCGCCTTCTCCTCAACCCACTTCCCTCGGGCTTTCCTCATTCTACCTCTGCACTCCGCTAAAAGGAGGAGGCCCGCCCTGGCTGGGTTGCTCAGTGGATAGAGCGTCGGCCTGCGGACTGAGGGACCACAGGTTCCATTCCAGTCAAGGGCACTTGCCTGGGTTACTGGCTCAATCCCCAGGAGGGGGCGTGCAGGAGGCAGCCTAGTAATGATTCTCATCATGGATGTTTCTATCTCTCCCTCTCCCTTCCTCTCTGAAATCAATTTAAAAAAAAAAAAAAAATAATTGAGAACTTAAAATGGCTTTAGAATTATAGTGTTGACAAGACAGCATTCCAGTGGGGAGAGATGGACAATTACCAGTAAAGTACTACTAAAACAGCCCAGAGTCATAAACTCATTGCAATAAGATAATAGTTAAGGGTGTTAGAGTGGATAGAGGTGTACTGCTTTAAAATGGCGTCAAGGAAGGCTTCTCTGAAGAAGGACTATTTGAACTGAAATCTGAATGATGGGAAGGAGCCAGACAGTTTGGGTGGCTCAAGGATCCTTCCTTCTGAATCCTCTGCACCTCCATCCCCAAATCACACAAAACGAATTAGGGAGGGTCCTTGGTTTCTGCAGGAATACTAAGAAAAGCATGTAGTTACTGCTCAACTTCATAGTTATTATAAGTGTAGTTTAAGCATTTCCCTTTTATTGTTTTTTAAATATATTTTTATTGATTTCAGAGAGGAAGGGAGAGGGAGAGAAACATCAATGAGAAAGAATCATTGATTGGTTGCCTCCCGTGTGCCCCAGACTGGGGAGCAAGCCTGCAGAATTGAACCCGGGATCCTCCAGTGCACAGGCCGAACACTGAGTCAAACCAGCTAGGGCTTCCCTTTTCTTCCCTCATCTCCTTCCCCTCCCTACCCCACGCAAGGAACCGAATTTGGTGTTTGTCATTTTACTAAATGTTTTCAACCTTTGATATATGTGTGTTTCACTCAACGAACTACTATACTCCTTTAAAAATTTTACACCAATGCAACAAATAGCTAACATTTATTGAGTGGCAGGCACTGTTCTAAGTGTTTTACTTGTATTACTTCCTTAAATCCTCACTATACCCCTATTTATAAATCCTATGATGACCCCCAGTTTGCAGGTGAGGACACTGAAAGGTGGCACCATTTACCCAGGACCACACAGCTTGCAAGTGGTGGTGCCAGGATGGGACCCCAGCAGTGGGTCTCTAGCCACACACCAGATCACGGTGCTACACAGCCTCCTGTTCTGCAGCACATTGATTGTGATTGCTTGTACAATGCTGCCCCCCCCCCCAATTTTTGTTTTTACAGATATACCTAAGTTAATAGAGCTCTGGTTCAATCATTTAAGCTATTATGAAAATATGATTAGTTTCATTGTCTGTTAATGGACACTGTTTCCTGTTTTTCACTTTATCATCAGTTCTGCTACATTTTGAACAAGTCTCCTTGTTCCACCTGCTCTTGACCTTGGGAAATTCTACATCATGAACGCTCAAATACCATTTCTTCCCTAAACACAGGCAAAACTAACCTCTCTCTCTCTTCCAGAATCGAATAGCATTTGGCCTCAGAGCTAGGAATGGAGTATATGTAGGTGTGTATATAACTCTTCTGTTTCTCCCATTGGACTAAACTCCTGGAGGCAGCATCCTGAACTATGCACCTTTGGATTCTCTGTGCTTACTACTGTAGTAAGTAGTTGTTAATATTTCTTGTTCTCACAGAAAACATGCATGTAATAGGGGCTGAGTGAGACACAGATTCAGAATCAGTTTGGAAGCCAAGAAGACACTTGCACTTAGGTTTCGTTGGCCTTCGTAATTTTCAGCAAGTTTCTACAGATAAATAGATCCTATCGTGGGTTTGCTTTAATAATCTCAACAATATACCAGCCTGCATCGGCCTGCACCTCAAATACCTGCTTTTGGTGAAACACTTACACATGCACACAAATACGCAGGTGCAAGGATCTTCATGCAGAGCTGCCAGTAATAGCGAAAGTGAAAATCACCTAAATCTCTATTAATAAAGAAAAATTTGATGGCATATTCCATATTACAGTCATTGAGAGAGTGAGGCAGACACATTTGTACTAACTCACTATGATCCCATATGTATGTAAAACTCCAAACCAATATGTATTTAATTTTTTATTTTATTTAAAAATCTTTATTGTTGAAAGTATTTCATATGTCCCCTTTTCCCCCCCAATGACCTTTTCTAGCCCATGCCCATCCCTGCCCCATGCTTTCCCCACCCTATTTTCTGTGTCCATGGGTTATGCATATATGCATACAAGTTCTTTGGTTGATCTCTCCCCACCCACTGGCCCTCCCACGCCTTCCCTCTGATATGTATTTATATATATACATGATTGGAGACGTGCACACCCAGCTGCTGACAATGGTTAACTCAGAGGAAGGGTGTCGGGGGACAATGTGAAGGAAGGTTTGGGGCTGTGCACCTGTGTAAAGGTGGAGTGAAGGTACAGTGACCACCATACTGTAAAGGTGTCTTAAGATAAAAAAAACAAAGCAGGCAAATTCACTGGATATAACAGAATGTATTGTAAGGTAATTTACTTACAGGGAAGATTGAGTCGGGATGGAAAAGACGTCTCAGTAGTCTACACAGATTACTCTCCCCTGCTCTACAGTTGTTACAGTAGATGTTTTCTAGTACAGCTGAACTACTAATGATTGACAAGGCGAAGGGACAAAGAATGTAGCTTGAGCCAGGAACCATAACTCCTGGTGGTCTTATGATGGATAATTGCTTACAATCAATGCCAGTACTTCGTTTGATATTTATCTCGGTTGCTATGCCATTCTGGCCGTTTACTGACAGGAATCTTGGTTACAGGATACAGCTAATCATTCACTATGAGGCTTTGGTGCTGGCTGAGACTCAGCATGGAAACTAGGGGGAAATTAGAGGGCACACAAAGATGGGGTCAGCTTTGTTTACATCAACATCTATATAGTACCCCAAACATTATGAACTATATAAATAAAATGCCTATATATTTAGAAATGTATAATATAAATGTCTATATCTACAAATACGTATAAGTGTATATATTTAATACATTATGCATAATAAATGTACTATATGTAAGGTCCATAACTGTAAAAAATGTCATTGAAAATATTGAAGATAATAACATTCTAACAGATGCTAATAAAATGGTTTTCTCTAGGTAGGTAAGACTTCAGCAGTTCTTTCTCCTCCTTTTATTTTTATTTCATAATTTCTTTTTCTGGGGCAGAGGCGTTATAAAGTATATTCTCAGGCCCTCCATTCTGTTCCCATCAGGAACCAAGGCTGAGAAGGAAGATGAGGTGGGAGAGGGGAGAGTGTAACAGCACCCCTCCCAGGCAGGACCCGGTTAGTCGGAGAACAGGCTGGCGAAAGACTTCCTCAGGTTGCGGATGGTTTTGGCCATGGCCTTGTCTTCGCTGGTGGTGCCACGCTGGGAAGCGTCCCATGTGCTGAGGCTGTCAGTCAGGGAAGCCATTCTTGGACCTGAGGGAGAGCTGTTTTCAGGGGAGGACTACGCTTACAAATATACACGCAGCTCCTCGTGGGAGCTTCCTCCCTTCACCTCCCAGGCAGCCACTCCCTGGGCAGGGCTGTGATTTCCTCCTGGCACAGCTGGAGGAGAGCAGCAGGGCTCCCACCCATCAAGTTACCTAGTCCTGCCCACTGTGGGTCCAGGGAGTGGCACGGACACGAGGCCTGGAGGACTAGCCGCTCCCGCGGTCTCCTGGTCACCAGCAGCTAGTCCTCCAGGCAATGTGCTTCCCATCAGCTTTATTTCATAATTTTAAAAAATACTGTATGGATTGCTTCCAATAGTTCAAATTTTAAAATCTCTGAAACTAGGATGCATCCTACAATTACAATTGCTATTTTTCTTAATGGTACACAAAATGACATGTTCAATCATTGATGGCATTTCTAGATTTGATGAAACATGGTAAACAGAAAGAAATGAGAAAATATGGCTGAGCTTGTGTGGCTCAGTGGTTGAGCATTGACCCATGAACAAAGAGGTCATCTCATCGGTTCCATTACCGCAGACTCGATTGATTGTGGGTGGGGGGGAGGAGTGTGTGCAGGGGACAGCCGATTGATGGTCCTCTCTTTTTTTTTGCGGCGGGGGGGGGGGGGGGGCGGTCCTCTCTTACCCATGTTTCTATCTCTCTCCCTCTTCCTTCCTCTCTTTCTAAAAACCATTAAAAACAGATTTTTAAAGAGAAAATGTTAAATTTATATACCCCAAATCTCTGATCTTTCCCCGTTCACCAAGGTAATTTGCTGAATCTTACAGACATTTAGCCCAAAATATGTAGTATCATTTTGGCTGGGAGAATCATTTCCCATTAACTTAGCAAGACTGTAGAATCAGTAAAACTCGATCTCCCTTGCTCAGAGTGAAGCATTTGCACAACAGGCTGTGACATGGGCTCAAGGGTGGGGAGATGGATACAGATATAACCATAGCAGAGTTCTTGCCTGTGACTGCCTGACAATCAGGTGGGAACACAGAAAGGGGGAGGGAAGGCATGACCAGAGATCTTGCTTCTGGGATTTCAGACCTAGAGATCCATACTGGAGGAAAGAGAGAACGAGGTGGAGCAGGATGAAAGTGTGCTAGGTGAACTGCCTCTCCCTGCCCCCGTGGGGCTGTTCATGCTGTGTCTTCAGCAGTCCCTGACGCTAAGTATTTCCTCAATGAATGTGTTAGGGAGCAGCTCCCTGTGGCCAAGGCCTGTGGGTGCCACCCTTGTCTCTGGCACATAGGAGGCACTCAGAAAATAAATGAGGATAAAGACAGTGGTCAATAGATTCTAAAACAAAGTTGTTAGAAGGTGGTGGATGCAGGGAGGGAAGGCTAAGGAAGGCAGTGGCCAAGCTTGGATGGAGTGGGACACAGGGCCAAGGGTAGAGAGGTTATCCACGGGTGGGAGGGAGGGTGAGTGGAATTGACGCCACCCTTCTTCCCATTTCACCACTAGGTGCTGTCAGACCTGCCAGACAGGTTCCCCAGAGTTAAGGGGAAGGAAAAAGGGGTAGAGAGAAGGAAGGGAGGTATTCCCAACCTTTAGCAATAAGATTGTTGAAATGTCACTAACGGAAGGATGTGGAAACAGACAAACCCGAATTCTAGTCCCAGCTCTGCCATCTTAGCTCTGAAACCTCACTATGTTGCCTTTTTTCTCTGTGCTTGTTTTCTCAGTGGAACCATTTATCCTGTCCTCTGTACCTCTCCCTATGAAGATCTGAATGAAGAAAAAAGCCTTTATGCTATTTTTATAGACAGAGATAGCCCTGTGTAGGAGGTCCCCAAAACCAGCCCCAGATTCAATGACTTGTTGAGGGACTCGCGCGATTCAGCATATAGCTGTCCTCATGGCTATGATTTATTATTGCCAGAGAATACAAAGTGAAATCAGCAAAGGGAAAAGGCACATGGGGTGGTGTTCAGAGAAAAGTGGACCCACGCTTCCAGAAGTTCTCTCCTAGTGGCATCACACAGGATGCACTTAATTCCTCCAGCAACAAGTTGTGACAACACACATAAAATATTGTTGACCAGGGAAGCTCATTAAAGACCCAGTGCTCATTAGAGATTCAGGTTTTTTTATTGGGGGCCAGTCACATAGGCATCTTCTGCCTAACACACATCAACATTCCAGGCTCTCAGAAGGAAACATGGTCAGCATAAACCCCATTATTTGTACAAAAAGTTTAGGCATAGTCAGTCACGCTTATAAATTTTGGGAATGGTGGGAGCACTCCTGAAGTTGAAGTTCGCAGACACCAGGCAAGGGCCTACTTACCAGCAGACTTTTCTAAGGATGGCAGTCTCAGCCAGCTATGTCCTGTTTGCACAGCCTGCTTGCTCATTACTCCCCAGGAAAAGAGTAAGAAGTGGTTGGCACTAATGTGGACTTGAAAAATGCCCAAACTGTCTGGGCGTGTGGACAAGGGATTGTAAGGCGGTCACAGATGTTCTAATTCCCAGGTCCCTGGGAGCCAAACGGGCTCTTTTTATCTTTTTCCCATAATTGGATTCAATGAGAGATCAGGCATGGCAGCTAAGAGAGCCATTGGAGTGGCAGCTCTTGTAAGGGTTTCCAGGCCAGCTTGGGAACCAGGAAGTCACCTCTGGAAGGAGCTTCAGTCAATTTCCCTGACATTGTCCTGACGGTTAACTGGCTTCCAGTGTATGTGAGGCTTCCAGAACATTCCCCAAAGGAAGTGGTCCTTCTTGTGTCTCCACAGTTTCAGGGTGCTGATAATGGAACCTGAGTAGATCCCAGGCCCCAGGAAGCCAAGCTTTGGAACTGTATTGCATCAAAAGAAACAGTTCAGCAAGAAAACTGTAATTAAAATAAGTTCATATCCTTATCTACATTTTTCAAAGAACATTAATGAGAATATAATTCATTACCTACAGTAATTTTTTTCTTTTCTTTTTTTTTTTTTAGAGAGAGAGAGAGGAAGGGAGAGAGGGAAACATTGATTTGTTGTTCCACTTATTTATGCATTCATTGGTTGATTCTTTTTTTAAAATATATTTTTATTGATTTCAGAGAGGAAAGGAGAGGGTGAGAGAGATAGAAACATCAATGATGATCAGAGAGAATCATTGATCGGCTGCCTCAGATACGCACCCCCTGGGGATTGAGCCCACAACCCAGGCATGTGCCCTTGACTGGAATTAAACTCAGGACCCTTCAGTCCCCAGGCCAATGGTCTACTCACTGAGCCAAACCAGCCAGGGCTTCTCTTTCCCTTTCTTCACCATTCAGCCTTTCTCTGCCCCTCTATTCTTCCTCTTTTCTTATCTCAACCCTTTCTTATTTGAATCTCCTATGCCACTTCAGCAGCTGTCTTCCCAACTCATTACTCTATGTACCTAATGAATACACTAGCAGGTAGGGAAAAAAGGGAAGGTAGGGATGAAAGCTAATATCAGAATATTAGAGTAGCTAAGGGGACAGAAAGAGGCTATAAATATTCTATGTATTGATTTTTGTCCCTCTTCTATACATATATGTGAAAACTATCTCTAGAGAGCTTGTGTCAGGGATTATGCTGAGTGCTACAGGTAGCATCTCATTGAAACCTCAACCAAACTCATCATGCCTATTACACAGATGATAAAACTGAGGCTCAGAGAGATTATTTGCCTAAAGTCATAGTGCTAGTAAATGGCAGAGCTGGGGTTTGAAGCCATGTCAAACTCCAAATGTGGCATGCTTACAGGATGAACTGAGATGTATTTGTGATCCAGTTCTCTAGGAAATGAAACATACCCCCTAGTTCTAAAACCCCGTGGAGGTGCTCTAACTCCAGGGACATGCCTGCGTCTTTCCCCTCCCCCGCTTCTTCTCTCCAGGTGCATCACACCTTCACCTTTCTCTCTCCTAAGCTCCAAGGGCCCCTTCTTTTGCCTCAGTAACTTGTTTCCAGAGCCCATTTCTTCTACCACTTACTTCTTCTACCTCTGTGACTGTCTAAATAAACTTTCTCTTAAGAGAAAAACAAACAGAACACCACTGTGGAGCAGTCTCTGATTCCTTCTATGGGGCTTTGCTCAACAGTCTAAATTTGTACAGTTAAACCTACACAATTTGTCTTTGTCCTCCATTGAGCTGTGCCTTTGTTTTCATTTCATGCAAGGCAAAATCACTTTAGAATTTTAGACTCCTTTAGTGCTTCATTCTTCCTTCTCTGTTAATATGGAGAAAACTGTTAAGGTCTCTGTATTAATTTTCTATTGCTGTGTAACAAATCAAATTACTACAAACTTAGTGGTAATTTAGTCTAGCCATTGTGGCTCAGTGGTTGATTATCGACCTATGAACCAGGAGGTCATGGTTCAATTCCCGGTCAGGGCACTAGCCAGGTTGCAGGCTCGATCCCCAGTGTGGGACACGCAGGAGGCAACTGATCAATGATTCTCTCTCATCATTGATGTTTCTATGTCTCTCTCCCTCTCCCTTCATCTCTGAAATCAATCTATATATATAAAAGCCTAAGCGACTGTGAGACCAGTCAACAGAACAACTGGTTGACCGGTCGCTATGACACGCACTGACCACCAGGGGGAAGACGCTCAACACAGGAGCTGCCCCCTGGTGGTCAGTGCGTTCCCACAGCCGGCCCACCTCCCATAGTTCCTCCCCCCCGCCCCCGCTGGCCTGCCCCAATCATCCCTGATTGCCGGCCAGGCAAAGGGACCCCACCCGTGCATGAATTCATGCACCGGGCCTCTAGTAAAAATATATTTTAAAAAATAAAATAAAACAACACCCATTTGTTAGCTCACAGTTCTGTAGTTCATAAGTCCAAGTGCGGCATGATTGGGTTCTCCATTCAGGGTTTTGTCAGACCGAAGTCCAGGTGCTGGTCAAGCTGCATTCCTTTCTGGAGACTCTGGGGAAGAATTTGCCTCCACACTCATCCGAGTTGTTGATGGAATTCAGATCTTTGCACTTGTAGGACTGAGATCTCTGTTCATTGGCTGGCTGTTGGCTGGCGGACTGCTCTCAGCTTCCAGAGGCCATCTGCAATTCCTTGCCATGTGGCTCCCTCCATATTTCCTCTCATGCTTGCTTTGAATCTCTTTGAATGCTTTAAAGAGATTTAAAGGGCTCATGAGTTTGGTCAGACCAATCCAGATAGCTCTCCTTTTTTGTCAATTGTAACATGTATAAGCTAATCACAGGAATAATAAGACATCATATTTACAGTCCCAGGTATTATATAGGGTGGAGTCTTGGGGGGGTGGGGGGCCTCTTAGAATCTGCCTACCACAGTCTCCATTCCTTTATTTATTCTGTGAGAAATAAGGTGAGCCCCCAAATTCAGGGGTCCTGGTAGAACACGAATCATACTCCGGAGCCAGGCAGCAAGGCAAACATCTTTACTCCTGCAGGAGGGTGCGCAGCACACGGTCTGGGAGCACCGCACACTGAGCAGGCGGTCTGCTCCCCTTTTTCATCCTGACGCACGTGACCTGTCCCTCACTCTTGATTGGAGCTCAGGTGCACAGTCTTTCGCGATTGGCTAATTTGAAGGGAGGGGCTGGCCTTTGCAGTTCAAGATGGTGGTCCCCAGGGGAGCTGCAAGTCATGTGGCCAACATGGTGGCTGCTTAAACTGTCCTTTGACAGAAAAGATGACTTGTTCATTCTCACAATTCACACATCTCACGTTTATGGAGTGCCCTCCCTGCACCAGGCATAGTTCCAGGCGTTGGGGAAACAATGGTGAACAAGACAAACTTGGTCCCTTAAAGCTTACCATCTAGTGTGGCGAGACAGACAATAACCACGGAGACTAAGAAAACTATCAGTTAGTAAGGAATGCTCTGCTGAGAACTGGCATAGGGTGGCATTTAGATTTAGATTGGGTGTCAGGAAAGGAGGGAAATCCCGGAGGAGGGGCCATTTCAGTTGCTCCCTGAGAAGATAACACACTGAAAAGGTCCATGTAAGGCTGTCTAATATCCACAAACCCAAGAGGGAAGCCCACACCCTGTGGTCCCAGGGTTCCTTCTAATCATATTTTACACATTTAACAGAGACGCCTGTTTTCAAACCACACCCAAAACCACGATGCACAGTGTCTTACTCATTCTGTTTCCTTCACCCTATTGCTTTGTGTAGCTTTGGGCTTAATCTCCTAAATTCCCAAGCAGGAGCTGGGCTTCAAGGCATGCCAACAATGGCATGTGTAAGTATGTGCTCCAGTTCCCACAAACATGCCTCTAACTTCCCCTCAGCGCTCTCCTGGAGTCTGGCAAAATATTAATGGATGAAGACTCACGGGTGTATGCATTTGCACAAATACTGCCAGGACACCTTTCTGCTAAAAATATACTCAAGTGAATCTGCATCACAATTTCCTGCTTTCAATTTGCAGAACCTAAAGGTTCCGTGCGAACTGCCTGGCACAGGCACAGTGCACCCATCGGCCCTTGGTCTGCCACTGTTGAAAGGATTTCCAATCCCAGGTGGACACTTGCGTGGTTAGGATTGCAAGGCTGTGAGGTTTCGGACCTTGTTTGCTATCACGAAGCTGGAACCATCAGGTGCTCTGAAGCACACACTAAAAAGCCACTTTCTGGGGGTTGACCATGTGCCAGGCGCTGTCCATACACTAAGATGAACCGTCCCAGTCATTACCTCCAAGGGACTTCCAGGGTCAGAGGGGAGAACAACATGCAGATGGCAATTATAACATAGGAGGCTTGCTTTAATCAATTAAGTCATTTTTTCAACAAATATTTATTGAGCGCTTCCTCTGTGCCAGGCAGTATAGATATCAGAGATACAGCAGTTGAACCAAACAGAAACAAATCCCTGCCCTCGTCAAACTTATTATAGTCTAGACAGTAAAGACATAAACTCATAAAATGTGTTGGGGATCAGATGGTGACAAGCAAATAAAGGCTATGGCGGAAAATTTAAAAAAAGAGAGAAAGGTGGCCCTAGCCAGTTTGGCTCAGTGGATAGAGCATCGGCCTGTGGACAGAAGGGTCCCAGGTTTGATTCTGGTGGAGGGCACATACCCGGGTTATGGGCTCGATCCCCAGGAGGGGGTGTGCAAGAGGCAGCCGATCAATGATTCTCTCTCATCATTGATGTTTCTATCTCTTTCCCTCTCCTTTCCTCTCTGAAATCAATAAGAAAATATTTTTAGCCCTAGCCGGTTTGGCTCACTGGAGAGAGCGTCGGCCTGGAGACTGAAGAGTCCCGGGTTCGATTCCGGTCAAGGGCATGTACCTTGGTTGCAGGCACATCCCCAGTAGGGGGTGTGCAGGAGGCAGCTGATCGATGCTTCTCTCTCATCGATGTTTCTAACTCTCTATCCTTCTCCCTTCCTCTCTGTAAAAAATCAATAAAATATATTTTAAAAAAAAAGAAAATATTTTTAAAAAGAGAGAAAGGTGTTTGGAAGTATGAGAGGAAGGTAGGTTATTTCATTAAAGAGTTGAAAGAAGACATCATTGAAAAGGTGACACTGGTGTGGGAGGGACAAGGGGAAGGGGAGGAGTTGGATAGGGCCCTACAGGTCATTATAAGGACTTTGACTATCACTGCATGAGCTGGGGAGCCACAGAAGGTCTTGATCGGGGGACTGACATGATCACCTCACTTTTGTTCTGAAGGGATTCCCCTGCTAGCTATGGGGAGAGTAAAGAGAAGGGAGCAAAGGGGAAACAGAAAGACAAGTTAGCAGGTCATTATACACTCCAGGTGAGAAATGAGGGTGCCTGGGACCAGAGTGGTAGCTGTGGAGGTAGCTATGGGATTTGTTGAAGGATTGATCAGATGTGGGGATGTGACAGAAAAAGTAGTCAAGGATGTCTCCAACCTTTTTGGCTTGAGCAACCGTAAGAACAAGGCTGCCATCCTTTTGCATGGGCAAGATGACAGGAGCAGCAGGGTGGAGGCAGAAGACACCAGGCGTCTAGTTTGGGGCCGGCTGGGTTATGCTGTATGTCCAACATTTAATGGATGTGTCAAATAGGCCTCTGGGTGTGAGACTGACTGGCTTTCAGGAAAGAGGCCAAGCGCTGGTGATGCAGTTTTGTAACTTATAAACATAGAGGTGATGTCTAAAGCCATGAGCTAGAAACAAGAGATGGATGTAGTTAGAGGGAAGAGGTCCAGGGGCGTGGACTTCTTTTTAACCTTAGAGGTCAGAGTGGTGAGGAGACATCAGCAAAGGAGATTGGGTATTCAGAGAGGCAGGGAGAAAATCAGGAAAGGTTGAGCCTGGGAGCCAAGTGAAGAAAGTGTTTCAGGAAGGATGGCTTGATGAACCCCATGTGTGAGCAGAGATGGAACCCAATGCATTAGTGCACAGGGGCTGGATTCACTTTATTTATTTTTAAATACATTTTTATTGATTTCAGAGAGGAAGGGAGAGGGAGAAAAAGAAACACCAATGATGAGAGAGAATCATTGATTGGCTGCCTCCTGCACACCCCTTACTAGGGATTGAGCTCTCAACCCAGGCATGTGCCCTGACTGGGAATCAAACTGTGACCTCCTGGTTTACAGGTTTGATGCTCAACCACTGAGCCACGCCGGCCGGGCTCACTAGCATTTTTTTGAGAGCATCTGATTTGCCTGGTTCTCTGTGAGGCATTTGTGACACAATGGTGAACAACACAAAGATGGTCCTTCCGCTCGCTAAGCGTACAGTCTGCAAGTAATTACACTGAAGTCTAGTCGGTGCAGGCAGGGTGTTGTCAGTGCTCACTGCCTTGGCATCTAAACGAATCGGGGGCCAGGGAAGAATCCTGGAGGAAGTGACGTTTAACCTGAAGTAGAAATAGGTGGCTGTCATCAGAGCGATAAATGGATGGTGGCGAAGACTGTTCCAAGTGAAGTGATGGCATGCCCCCCATTAGAGGTGGGAGAGAGAGCTGTCTAGGCACCAAAAGACCTCGGTGTGGTGAGAGATGGGCTTGGAGAGACAATGGGGGCTTAGAGGGGAGTAGCGTCTTCGTCTTCATAGAGCTTCTGGCAAGTGCTTGAAGTCCTTCTCTCTCTAGAAAGCCAAGTCCAAGAAGGCGGGAACCACATCTGCCCTGTTCACTGCTGTGTACCTATAGGTGCTTACTCCCCATATGTGGCACATGGTACGCACTTGATAAAGGTTTGGTGAATAATGTACCAGTATAACCACGAATCTTAGTTTACCTCTAAAATTTATGTTCATCAGTATAAATACCATCATTACAGCATTCTTATAAACAAAACGATGAATGTAAAAAGCATTCTGTAAACTCTAAAACATAATACTTGTTTTAAAGCTGTAAGATATTATGTTGCAAATATATATACCCTCTGTTTCACCCTTAACAACTATTTTAAAAAAAATATATTTTATTGATTTTTTACAGAGAGGAAGGGAGAGGGATAGAGAGTTAGAAACATCGATAAGAGAGAAACATCGATCAGCTGCCTCCTAAACACCCCCCACTGGGGATGTGCCCAAACCAAGGTACATGCCCTTGACTGGAATTGAACCCGGGACCCTTCAGTCTGCAGGCCGACACTCTATCCACTGAGCCAAACCGGTTAGGGCAACAACTGTTTTTTTGAGAATCTTATTTACTTCTCTCAAGTCAGAACCCCCCCCCCCAAATATCGTATTAAGAGAAATTATCCAGTCATATGTAGTATAAAAGTAGCTTCATTAAGGAAAATATCCTTCATCAATCTGATCACTTCCTCTTACCATTTCCTAAAGTGGTTTCTAACATATTCAGGTTGCTTATTTTCTCACTAGAGGCCTGGTGCATGAAAGTCATGCGGGGGGGGGGGGCATCCCTCAGCCCAGACTGCACCCTTTCTCAGTCTGGGAGCGGGCCTAAGCCGACAGTCAGACATCCTTAGCGCTGCAGCGGAGGAGGGAGAGGCTCCCGCCACTGCTGCTGCGCTCGCCAGCCGTGAGCCCGGTTTCTGGCTGAGCGGGTCCCTCCCCTCCCCTGTGGGAGCGCACTAACCACCAGAGGGCAGCTCCTGTGTTGAGCGTCTGCCCCCTGGTTTCCGCCATTTCAATTTGCATATTAGCCTTTTATTATATAGGATAAGTGAGCATTAATCAACAAGTTGCTTTTCTCTTGGCCCAGAATAGTAGATATCTTGTATCACCTGCACCAGTGAATCAAGTCCTTGAAAGCAGGCATCTTATATCTTTTTATGCCCAGCATCTAACATTATGGCTGTTGGTACTGAATACCTGTTGGTTGAATTTAATAGGTAAATTTATCCTGGAAATTGACATTATACCTTTACTTATTCACAAATACAGTACCAGACTCTAAATAACTTTACTTAGTGCACTTAGATGATCATTGGACATTATACATTCACAAATACAGTACCAGACTCTAAATAACTTTACTTAGTGCACTTAGATGATCATTGGCTATTCCCATATTCCCAAATGGCTTTAACTTGAGAGAGAAAAGGTAAAGAAACAGAGATACTGGATTTCATTTTACCTCCCAATTTTCTAGTGTTTGCCTCGTTTTAGGTCTGCCAAATAATGAGTATTAATTAATAAGGTCATTTTATTACCGTTTCCATTCAGATATGATAATGGAAATATAAGAATGTTGGAAAGCTTTTTCTGCTATTTAGGCCAGGTTTCCTTCTATTTTATTCTGTTACGTCTCTCTATGGTCTACTAGTTTTTTATCTACAGCATTTAAAAGCTGTATTCGCTCTTATATGTAGCTCTTTAATTTTGACTTAATTATTATATACACACACGAGTCTCTTGATCCTGCCCCATAAAACAGTTCCTACAGCTTCTTAGTACTTGTTGCCCAACCCTGTCTGGCTCTTATGTTTTTGGGGAGTAAGACATTTGGAGTGGTTCAAACATTTTGGAGGAAGAACTCTCTGAATTTTAATTTAAAAATAATCTTTTTTAGAATTTGTGATTTATTTATTTTTGTCCATCTGCATTTCCCCCAAATTTTTTCACAGTGATAAATTTACAGTTAAATAGAAAAAACACACACACACCTATTTGCTGAGGCAGAAAAAATGAGCAGAAATTCTTTTTGTGTATATACTGTGGTTTTCTTGTTCATTAATGTAGTACTCATTAGTCCACCCATACCCTCTGTTATTACAAAATGTGTAATACGAGTTGCGTTAATTTATTCCACTGCTGCTTTCTGAATTTTTCTTCTGAAGTCATCTGAATTTCAGACCAAGGGCTTGAGCAATTACATTCGGTTTAAGTGGCTTTCAAACTCTAGGTGTAAATAATGTTTGAACATTAAGGTTATTAATCAACAATAAAGACTGCAGCAAAAGGCCGGTTACACATTGATCTTCTTGTCACTAGCGCTCATCTTTCTTACGTTTGTCACGTGTGCTGAATGTCAAGGCGACAGCACTCCACGTGTTTGCGAACATGCAGGTCTGTCCTGCAGCACTTTTGCCCTCTGCCAGGTTGCTGTCACTGGTCTGTCCCCGTCTTTCAGGTCTCAGCTCCCCACTAGCCTTCCTTGTCTGGGAACCTCCCCTCCCCTCCCCCCACTCAGGCAATCTCTGTGTCATCAATGTTTTTATTTATTTATTTTTAAATATATTTTATTGATTTTTTACAGAGAGGAAGGGAGAGGAATAGAGAGTTAGAAACATCGATGAGAGAGAAACATCAATCAGCTGCCTCCTGCACATTTGCTAATGATAACTTTCTCTCTCGCACTGAGAGAAGTTAATCTTTCTTAGATGCTGAGAGAAAGAGGAGAGCTGGGACCGGGTGCGGGTGAACACGGAAGGGTGGAGATGACAAAAAAGACTATAATCCCCTTCCCCCACCCAATTCCCCAATTTTCCCTCCTAACTTGTGTCATTACAATTCGATACGCTCATTCTTTCAGTCCCCTCTACCCTGCAGCAGCCTTTCTCAGCCGATAGAAATTGAACTTACTCTTAAAAGTTCAGCTCAGATGCCACCTCCTCTGTGAAGCCAACCCTGATTGTCCTGTCCAGCCAGAATTTCCCTCCCTCCTCCTTCTGAAATATCATAGCACTTCACACACCACTCTTATGGTGAATTCTGCCCATGTTATGGTTGTTTACAACTCCAGTGTAGAGACCACAAAATCTGAAATATTTAGATCGGTGGTTCTCAACCTTCCTAATGCCGCGACCCTTTAATACAGTTCCTCATGTTGTGGTGACCCCCAACCATAAAATTATTTTTGTTGCTACTTCATAACTGTAATTTTGCTACTGTTATGAATCGTAATGTAAATATCTGATATGCAGGATGTATTTTCATTGTTACAAATTGAACATAATTAAAGCATAGTGATTAATCACAAAAACAATATGTAATTATATATGTGTTTTCCGATGGTCTTAGGCGACCCCTGTGAAAGGGTCGTTTGACCCCCAAAGGGGTCGCGACCCACAGGTTGAGAACCGCTGCTGGGCGGATGCACCGGACTGGTTCCAACTCTGCACGACTCCGCACAAATCACGGTAAAAATAAATCTGTGCAGACGCCTGCCTTCTAGTGAGACAGAAACTCGGACCCAAATCTCACCTGTCCCAGCCCGAGTGTCGCCTGAGCGGTGAGGGGGTCTGAGAACCGCTCCCCTCGCGATCAACCTCGGAGTTCCGAGGGGGCACCTAAGCGCGCGGATGGC